TCACTAACGCTCTAAAAATGATTATTTCAGCCGCAGTAAAGAATCAACGTTGGCGGATTTTGGTTCTTGACATCCTTTACGATCGGTTACGATGCCTAGAGTACGGAGACCTGTACGATTTCGTCAACTTAGTGAGTTTGATAGGGGCCGTATAGTGGGACTTCGGGAAGCTGGACTTTCTTTTCAGGCAATTGCAGTTAGAGTGCAAAGAAGTGGTTAGGTGTTGTCAGGCATGGCTTCGAGAAGGCCGTACGCAAAGAGCAAGGGGCACTGGACGCCGCCGTAGAACAACAGACCATGAAGATCGCCGCCGAAGATTATTGCCCTTAAGGGACCGTTTCTCCACTACCAGGTCCATTGCAAATGAATGGTTTGCAGAACACGGAAGACCTATTGGCATGCGAAGTGTTTACCGACGAATGAGAAGTTTTGGCTTGTTTTCATACCGGCCACACTGGGTCCTCCCTTTAACTCGAGAACACCGACGTAATCGCCTTGAGTGGTGCAGACAACGGTCACTCTGGGATCAGGAATGGAACAGTATTGTCTTTAGTGCCGAGTCTCGATTTTGTTTAGGCATGCACGATGGTCGCGCCAGGGTTAGAAGGCGACGTGGTGAAAGGAGGAATCCATAGTTTTTTGTTGAAAGACATGTTCATCACACTGTTGGAGTTATGCTTTGGGGTGCTACAGCTTATGGTTCTAGATCACCTTTAATCTTCATCAGAGGTAACATGAACGCGCAGCGTTATATCCACGAAGTCCTAGAACCCCATCTCTTACCCTATCTTGACACCCTGGCAGATCCAACTTTCCAACAAGATAATGCCCGACCACATGTTGCAAGAGTCACAATAGACTTCTTTCAACATAATGATGTCACATTGTTACCATGGCCACCAAGATCTCCCGACTTATCCCCAATTGAGGACGTGTGGGATATGATGGGTAGGAGATTGCTCAATTTGCAACGTCCTCCTCAGACTCTAGAAGCACTTCGAGAGGAGTTGGTGGTTGCCTGGAATGAGATACCACAGGAGGACATTGACCACCTGATCAGAAGCATGCCTAGGCGCGTTGGAGAATGCGTAGCACATCAGGGTACATCCACACATTATTAAAGGTCAAAAGGCTTTAAAGCAGTGCAATCATTTTGAAATTTTCATCATTTACTTATTATGCTTCATTAAGTACTTATACAAAATTTTATTAAAATAAAACCATTTAAACTGGGTGTTCGGATTTCTGCATCAGGAGCACAGAAACGACGAAGAGCGTACATATCAAGGAACCGAATTTCACGTGAGTATCATAGATAGAGTTTAGTGCTATTTACAGACCTCCCCGCGGTTCCGTGATCCTGATAGCAAGTCAACTTATGCAAATGTTCATATTGAGTTTCCTGCATTTCAACAGGCAGCACTTTTCATATACCCGCTTTTGTTTAGTAGAAGGAAATGCCATAAATCGGACCTTTCCACAAAAATGGACCGCCTATCTCATTGGCTCTAAATTCTCTGCAACTTCATTACCGCCAATTATAATTAATAACTGTTTATCATTTACACACCTGCCTAACTGAAAGACTTTCCAACGAATCGATCAGCGGTTACGAGAAACTGGTGAGAAATGATTATAGCCTCATTTTGAGTAGTAAAAACCATTTGGATTTTAGGTAGTTTTGCTCAAAATATGGGCCGACATAGTGTAGCTCCCAGAACGTAGAGCTGAAGTTGAAGAAAATGTTTTAGATGCTGTCTTTGAAAATCCTACAATTGGGGTTAGGAATGTAGTTGGAGAATTTCAATGGTACAGTAAATACCATTTTTCAAGAGTAACTGCTCCATCCATACCACCTGCAAAAAGTACATGGTTTAAGCGCGGATGATGAACCCGCAAGAGTAGAATTTTGTACACGGATTTTAAGGAAGTTTAACCACGACAATGGTTTTACTCCGTTAATATTATTTTCGGACGAAGCAGGATTTGGAAGGGATGGGCCCATTAACTCGCTTATGCACATTTATGCAGCTGAAAATCCTCATGCAATAATACAAACTCGCCACCAAGTACAATCTCAAATTAATTTATGGGCAGGAACGGACAATATTTAATAGGACCCATTCAGTTACCACCTAGACTAAGGCCCGTATCGTCAGTCGTCCCTATAATTGTAGGGCGCCTTTATGGCCTCCTTGATTGTCATAGCTTTCTATTTTTCCATGACAGTGCTCTATTTTGAGGTTATGTCACAAACATCTATTAGCATCAAATTGTGCTTGCTTTTGAGTTATATCATGTTTTATCAGCCTGAAATTTCCTACAATTTAAAAGGAAAACATATCTTCACAATAGGAGAGCGCTGACGCTGACACGGGACAAGTGTAATCTACAAATTTTTGAAGGAGAGAAAGGGGTATGACAATCAAGGAGGCCATAAACGCGCCCTACAATTGTAGGGACGACTGACGATACGGGCCTAAATGGCCAAATGTATTTACAATTTCTTGAAGAACAATTACCCACTCTGCTGGAAGATCTTCCATTACAAACACGCTTGAAGAATATATGGTTAAGCACAACGGCGCTCCACCTCATTTTAGTGCATCTGTTAGATGGCACCTTATCCAGACCAGTGGATAGGCCGATCAGGACCTGTATCGTGGCCGGCTAGATCACCAGATTTAAATCCTATGGTTTTTTTCTGGGGTGATATAAAACGACGCGTTTACAATACGCGAGTGGAAACTGTAGATAACCTTCAAAGAATTTTCCACCATAGCCAGGAAATGAAAGATAACATCCAAATGTTTTGGAGAATGCATCAAGGATTAGTTCGCCGAGCTCGAGAGTGTGTTAGGTAAGGTCGTACTCATTTTGAACAATTTTTGTAGTTGTTATTTCCGTTTATTAGTTTGGTTGCCATCTTCGTTTGTTATTGTTAAAAACCATAGCAACGCTACTCAGATACTATTCAAAGCAACTTGATTATTATGTTATAAAAATGTTTTGTCATCATGGTACAAATAATGCATTGGAACTTTTAGAAATATATATCTCGGAAACTACGCACCTCTAACAAGTGAGCCTTTTTTGTGGAAATACGAGAAAATAAGATCTTTTCGTCAGTTGTTCTATACAGGGTAGCACAAAAAAGCTATGATAAGTTATTTACCGAAATGTGGCGCCCTCTAGAAGTTTGGCCATAAAAAATAAAGGATTCTTGTTTCTAATACTAGAAAACCTCCCTATACCGAGTTTTATGCCAAAATCTGAAATACTTCTCAAGGAATAAGGAAAAATAGAAAATAAAATTGTTACTTTGACACCCTGTATCTCGCAACTACCAACTTTAAGTCAATTCACATATTTTGGTCTGTAGTATCTCCAGTTTCGAGATTTCCCAACATTTCGCAGACACCATTTTCTTATATGACAATAGTCTTTCTCATGAAATTGGTACATTTAGGTCTTTGATAGACATTTTATTACATAAATATGGGGTTGTCCAAAACAGGACGCAGGTAAGTAAACGCATATTAAAACAAGAAAGATTGATATTCAAATCAAGTTGGGTACTTTATTTTGAAGGTCCATTTATACCATTTATGTATGAAAAATAATATCGCTCAAATGTTCACCACGACTGGATATACAGACGACCACGCGATGGTCGAAATTTTCAATGACATTTTGCAACATGGTCGGTTCTATGGCATTTATCTCGGCAATGATGTTGTTTTTGAGTTCTTGGAGGGTGGCTGGTTTGTTGACGTAGACTTTGCTTGTCAAATATCCCCATAAAAAGAAGTCCAAGGGAGTCGAATCGCACGATCTTGTTGGCCATGGCACATTTCCTCTGCGCGAAATCACGCGATCACCGAAGAAGGACTGCAATCGATGGATATTGACGTTGGTTGTGTGGCATGTTGCACCGTCTTGTTGGAAATAAACATCGTCCATATCCATTCCTTCAAGTTGCGGCAAAAAATGGTCCTCTATCATCACGTGATATCGCTCAGAATTGACGGTAACGGCGTCCCCGGCCGCATTTTCGAAAAAGTAAGGTCCGATGATGCCTTTTGACCACAATGCACACCACACAGTCACTTTTTGAGGATGCATCGGCTGCTGTTGATAATCACGGGGATTTTCGTTCACCCAGATGCGGCAGTTTTGCTTGTTTACCGTCCCATTCAAAGTGAACATGATTTTTCATGAAAAATTGGCATCAATTTGGCGGTGTTCAAGGAGCCAATCTGAGAACGTTCGGCGCGAAAAATGGTCGGCCCGACGCAGCTCTTGCGTCAATTGGATCTTGTAGGCGTGTACATTCAAATCCTTGTGGAGAATGCGGAGCAAACTGGTTCTCGAAATGCCCAAATCTTGGGATCGACGCGTTGTTGATTGTTTCGGATCGTCTCTCACACTCTCCTTCACAACAGCAATATTTTCCGGTGTGCGAACGCTCCTTGGCCGGCCAGAGCCCGGCAGATTTGCCACAGAACGTGTTGCCTCGAATTTACGCACCAGACGAACGATGGTTGTTTCGTGTGGGCGGTTGTTGCGACCGAAATGTTCACGAAGCGCGCGAAACGTGTTTTTTATTTTTGCACCATTTTTGTAGTGCTCTTGAATAACTTTAATGCGGTCTTCAATCGAATACGACTCCATAGCGATCAATGGTAAACATTCAACTAACAAAATGACATGTCGGTGACAGAAAACAAAGATGGCGTCTATGTCAAATTGACGTTTACTTTCCTGCGTCCCTATTGGACAACGTTTTTCTTTCTGTTGCGGAAAACGAACCTCTTTCAGTTGCCATTGCTCTTTTGTGAATTCTTCGAAAGCTTGGAAAGAGTAAAATTAATAAAGGCATATCGTATTTTTAGAATGACCATAGGCATTGATGCTCTTCGGAAAAAGGTGGGATGGAAAAAGGGAGGGAGCAGAAAAAAAAGTGTAGTTTTTCGATTAAATGGCTGAGGAATTGAAAACTATGCATCTGTTTTTGTTATTATAATATCCTTACTGCCACAATAAAACCATAATAAGGTGTAAGATTTTTGAAAATTAATTTGTTTTTAAAGAACTACAAGCGTTTGGACCAAACTTAATAAATTTGTGTTTATTGAAGAAGAAATTACAAGGATGTTGTCTCTAGCATCAACAAAGTTAAAATCTCTATAACATTCAGAAAGCATGCAGTTTTGCTCAATGAAAAAGCTTACGCTGCAGTTTTCTTCTTGAAACCTCGGTATTTACAGTGCCGTAATTCATGTTACTGTCACCTAACGTTATAAGCTTCTTAAAATATACTATTAGTTAATTCTGCTAGTTTTTAAATATTTGGGCACTCCCTTTCAATAATAATCCATCCACTTGGATGAATATGTTCCTTTCTATTAGGTGCTTCAAACAGTTGCAATAGGCAGAAGCTAATCTTACTTGTCTAGTGAGTAGACAGTGAAAGAAACACAAACAGTAAATATCTGGCTATTCTGCACTAATTAACTTAATAGTCCATTCGGTTTTCTTGACGCCTATTGTTGTTCGTCGGCTGGTAGAAATATTCCGCATCGTTCGTGATCCATCGAGATTTAATCATGTCACTGGCCTTTTCAGCTATCATTATAACTGGAGCATTGGTGTTTCCAGTTGTCACTTTCGGAATTGCGCTTGCGTCTATGACCCGTAGCCTATCTATTCCATAGACCTGAAAGCATTAAGAAGTCATAAAGGTTCTAATCGGTCATGTTGAAGCGAAATACAATAATCCCTACGAATAGTCCAGTCTAATTGAGTTTTTGGGTACTAAGGCCCGTATCGTCAGTCGTCCCTACAATTGTAGGGCGCGTTTATGGCCTCCTTGATTGTCATACTCCTTTCTCTCCTTCAAAAATTTCTAGATTACACTTGTCCCGTGTCAGCGTATGCGCTCTCCTACTGTAAAGATATGTTTTCTTTTTAAATTGTAGGAAATTTTAGGCTGATAAAACCTGATATAACTCAAAAGCAAGCACAATTTGATGCAAATAGATGTTTGTGACATAATCTCAAAATAGAGTTCTGACACGGAGAAGTAGAAAACTATGACAATCAAGGAGGCCATAAAGGCGCCCTACAATTTATTATTATTATTATTATTATGATAATTGACATGAGCAGAGTACACAGTACTATAAGCTCATGCAGTAAATATAGTGTACGGACACGTAACACAAATACATCAAATAGAAAAAAATAAAAAAATACAGTTCATAGCTATAAAGTTTGTACACTCCTCCAGCTATCATACTGCACTTTGAAGCTATTAACTGAAGTAGCACCAACCACACTTTCAGGTAAACTATTCCAGGTGTTGAGTATGCGGTTGGGAAGAAACCACTGTCGGACTGTTGTTTTAAATGGCTCCTTATGCAGTTTGAAGCTGTGTCCGCGTAGATTGCTGCACGACAGATGGTATAGATGCATGAGGTTGGTGCCCATCAAACCATGAAGTATCCTGAACGTAACTATAAGATCGCCACGAAGTCTTCGCTCAGAGAATGAGGTCAGGTTGAATAATTCAAGGCGATCTTCATAGCTTGGTCTTCGTGCTCCAAAAGGGATACGAGTAGCCCGACGCTGTACTGATTCGACGAGATTTCTATCGCGCAGAAGCACAGTGTCCCATACCGCGCCAGCGAATTCAAGAATTGGCCTCACGAATGCCTTGTAAATGTAGGCGCAAGTGTTGACATCGGATCCTTTGAAAGACCTCTCCAGCATATATAGAAGTTTCTTGGCTTTTGATGTAACGTGGTGAATATGCTCTGACCAGGAAAGACGATCGTTGACTACAACGCCCAGATCAGTGTGGCTCGAAACTGCTTCGATGTTGTGGTCAGAGATCTTGTATGTAAATCGCGGATTTGTCTTCCCGAGGTGAAGGACACAACACTTAGTTAGATTTAAGGGTAAAAGCCAACTAACTGACCATTGACAAACAATATCAAGATCTCGTTGAAGCATAGCAGAATTTACGACAGTATTGTAAATCTTGGTGTCGTCGGCATAAGCTGAACATGTGGAGGAAATCAATGCGGGCAGGTCACTTGTATACAGAAGGAACAGCACTGGCCCCAAGACAGAGCCTTGAGGAACTCCACTTGCTACATGATGAAGGTGAGACTGGCTATCACTGACGCGCACAGAGAAAGTCCTCCCGGTGAGAAAAGCCTTAATCCACAGTAACAACTCGCCTCTTATTCCCATACATTCCAACTTAAACAGAAGCCTTCTATGTGGTACGCGATCGAAAGCCCTAGAAAAATCTAAGTAGATTATATCAACAGGAGTCTTTGTGTCCAGATACTGAGTCCAATCGTTGAGAGAGTGGAGAAGGTTGGTCATTATTGATCGACCAGGGAGAAATCCATGCTGATTCTTAGGGATAAGGTCATTTTCGAAAGCAAATGACTGGAGCTTATCTAATATGATTCTTTCTGCTATTTTGGCGGCGATAGGAACGAGACTTATTGGTCGATAATTTTTAGCGGAGGATTTGTCGCCCTTTTTGAATACAGGGGTAACAGAAGCACTAAGCCAGCATGAGGGTAGGGTATGAGATCTAAAAGACGATGTGAATATCAAGCTTAATGGTGGGGCCAGTGCTGGAGCGCAGTTTTTAAGTACAGCAGCCGTCATCTCATCTTTACCAGGGGAGGAAGAGGTCTTCAGATTTCGCAGGTGCATTAATACATCTTCAGGCAGGAACTCAACTTCGCAAAGGCTGTTGGGACACCTATGGCAGATAGTGGTCGGTAGAAGGTCTCCATTAGGCTCATCGACGAAGTCATCACTAAAGCACTCTGCCAGTAAGTTGGCAGATTCGGTGGCATCCATGTGGAGATGACCGTCAGCGTCGCGGATCTGAGGTGATGAAACTTTGGAATTCAGGTTTGTTCTTAGATACCGAAACAGCTTCTTCTTATTTTTGGAGGTAACGAGTTTTCGTTCATAAGCATGTTTGGCATTATGTAACGTTCTAGATAGGAGGTTAAAAAAGGATCGATGAGACACGTAATCTTGTGAATGGCCACTCCTCCTAAACCGTTGCCACAAAGATCTCTTGTAACGAAGCATCCTCGATATGTTAGAGTTGATCCAGGGCTTTGAGGGGTCACAGTATACCTTCTTTTCAACAGTATTGTCAGCCGTTTCGCTTAGGACTCGTTGAGCGAAAGTGTCCCACATATCTTGGGTGCTACGGTTGTTAAGCAAAGCAGGCCAGTTGACTTCAGACAGCGCTTGGTTAAGAGCATCGTGGTTTACAATTTTGATGGTTTTAAACTTATCGGTTGTAGAACGACTATTTATGCTGAACTGGAGAGAAGATAAAAGTGAACAATGGTCAGACTTGCCAAAAGGTGGCAAATAATCTAAATTAGAAACAAAGTCTGCGTCGTTAACGAATATCAAATCCAGAGCCCTAGGCGTCTGTCCTTCCCTGAATCTCGTTGGACGATCAACAAGTTGAGATATGCTAGAGTTGCGTAGCAAGTCGATGTAAGCAGCAGAAGAAGAATTGCATTCAGGAATGGTTGACATAGGCCAGCTAATGTCACGTAGATTGAAGTCACCAGCTATGAAAAGGTTGGTGTTTTTATTTAAGAGATCTGAAGTTGTAGGGACGACTGACGATACGGGCCTAAAGTTAAAGGACATAGCGACTATACAGGATAAGATGAAAATTCGATGATTTGAAATAACTAAAATGCAACCATTTGACATCGTAGTTGAACCCGACGACATCCTTGTAAGCTTCGATGTCGTCTCCCTTTTCAACAAGGTACCGCTAAGGGAATGCCTAGATCTGGTGAGCAGGATCGTCCCTTCTGACGTCTGCAAGCTCTTTGAAATCTGTCTCACTGGAAGCTACTTCGTATGGGACGGGGGCTTTTATGAGCAGACAGACGGAGTGGCAATGGGAAGTCCACTTAGCCCAGTCCTAGCCAACCTTTTTATGGAACACTTTGAGAAGAAGGCGGTTGAGACATCGGAGAACAAACCAGCAATTTGGTTCCGGCATGTGGACGACACCTTCGTGATTTGGAAACATGGCACGGACAGGCTAAACGAGTTTCTGCAGTACCTCAACCATCTGCATCCAAGCGCACAATTTACCATGGAGATAGAGAGTGACCAACAACTGGCCTTCTTGGACGTACTAGTCAGGAAGCGAGGTAAGAAGCAGGGTCACACAGTGTACAGGAAACCAACGCACACAGACAGATACCTGCACGCTTTGTCCAACCATCACCCAAGTCAAAAGTATGGAATCATCAGAACCCTGACAGAACGAGCTCGAAGGATCTGCGAACAGGAGAACCTCCAGACAGAACTTGAACACCTGAAAACTGCACAAGGCAGATGTTCCGCTGAGTCCAATAGTCAGTGCTCCCAGATCGCCGACGTACTACTTAGCGAAACACTTGGCATCCCTGCTGCAACCATACGTGGGAAAGAGTACCAGCTACATCAAGGATTCCACCGACTTTGTGCGCAAGATTCAGGACATCGTAGTTGAACCCGACGACATCCTTGAGAGCTTCGATGTCGTCTGCCGCTGAGGGAATGCCTAGACCTGGTGAGCAGGATCTTCCCTTCTGACATCTGCAAGCTCTTTGAAATCTGTCTCACTGGAAGCTACTTCGTATGAGACGGGGGCTTTTATGAACAGACAGACGGAGTGGCAATGGGAAGTCCACTTAGCCCAGTCCTAGCCAACCTTTTTATGGAACACTTTGAGAAGAAGGCGCTTGAGACATCGGAGAACAAACCAGCAATTTGGTTCCGGCATGTGGACGACACCTTCGCGATTTGGAAACATGGCACGGACAGGCTAAACGAGTTTCTGCAGCACCTCAACGATCTGCATCCAAGCATACAATTTACCATGGAGATAGAGAGTGACCACCAACTGGCCTTCTTGGACGTACTAGTCAGGAAGCGAGGTAAAAAGCTGGGTCGCACAGTCTACACCTAAGTATTTCATAGCACATACAACTACTTACGCGGCGCCAGTAATTGCGGACAAAGCTTTACAAATGTAGGCATTTTCTGTAATTTGTAGAATTGTGTTACAGAATTTCCTACAAATGTAGTTGATGCTTACTACTCTGTACCTCTGAATATGGATAAACATAATAACTGATAATAAGTTGGAAATTAATTATGATGAATACCTCAAGTACTGAGAATTGCGGACGTAAGCTCACTCCAGTCTCGGAACGTCTGGGGCACAGTGGATTTGAAGGAACAACATCGATGATAACATTTGTCCCATGAACATCGGCAATCCAATCTCAGAGTCTGCACTGATTAATCATCTTAGCTTTAGAAATTACTGTGCACTCCAATCAAAGAAGGAACGGGTGAGTTGTGGCTTTTGTCCCCGGCGGCATTTCTTGCTCCAGAGACGTTTCTTTGGAATCAGACTGAAAGGACATTCTCCAAAACATGCCCTAAATTCATTTGCTGCCTTTATCGCTCTCCCTCGGTTCATAAAAACTTAATAAAAAAAAATACTTCGACGTCAAGATCGACTTCCTGGACATAAATCATTCCGCTTCAGATGAAGTTCTCCTCGGTGATTTCAATGCCCATAATGAGCTTTGGTTGGTATCGAACAAGACCGATGCATCTGATATTACCCAAGGTCTGACCTTTCCTTGGAGAGATGTTTGTTTCGCTGACGCGGATGCGTCGGCTGCCTGTTCGTCGATAACATAAATTATCCACCTTGGGATGGAGAAATACTTCCCTCATACAAAGGGCATAAACCAGCGTCCAACGGCATCGTCAGCAGAAGATCAAGGCACACAGAACCTTTTTACACCACTCCACTCTGGAGAACAAACAAGCCGTCGTCGAGCCCAGAAACAAATATAACAAAGGAGTTCGTAATACCAAAGACCAGCATCATATAAAAGTTAGGCACAGAGTAATCTCGAAAACTAGAAATTTGCTCATGTCGGAGCCATCCCAAGAAAAGGATCTAAGACCGACTCTTATAGCTACAGGCCTATAGGTTTGCTTTCTCTTATGAATAAGGTGATGGAGGCGTCCATCAATCGCGAGCTTCTGGACTACCTCAAACGTCACATCTTAGCGTTCGATCAGCTGTGGAACGCTTTCGTCTCATGCACACTTCCATCCTATGGCCTGCCAGAGAAGCTTTGCAGATGGGTGGCTCCCTGGCCGCAAGATATCCGTCATGATTGACGGGCTCTCCTCTTCATCCCACGACACTAACGCGGGTGTTCCTCAGGGATCTGACTTGGCTACTTGGTCTCTTACATGACAATCCATAGATTTGTTGATGACAACACTCTACGTTACATGCAGGAATTCAGATCAACAAGCCGATCTCTGCCGGTGAGCTGAAAAAAGAAGAGAAGTGGCAACTTTCTCTCTGACGAGACCTGGAGGTTATCACTGCCTGGACATGCAACATCTTATACAGTTTAATTCTTCCAAAACACAGCACTGTACCTTGATGAACAAAAAGCGCTCATCCGGTTTCGATAAATGACCGAATTCTACCAGAAAGCCGTTCATTTCGGTTGGTCGGATTCCAGATCACCGAGGACTTGATCTGGCACGAACACATGTCGGCAATAGCGGCAGCTGCTGGAAAAACCTAGGCTATCTGTTTGGGGATAAGAAGTACTTTTTTCCACTCTCTGCCTGCAGACCCGCTTGACTTCGGTCTCCCATCTTAACCGTGTCGAACTCCGTACTTTCAGAACTGGCCGATACAGCCGCTCCTTTGTCTCGAGGGTGTCGAGATTGTGGAAGCTTTTCCCAGTTCTACTAACCTTGGGCAGTTCAAAAATCGGTTCAACAGAGTTTCTTTGGGATCCTCAGAGCAGTCGCGGCGTCCTGGCATTTAGGCTTATGCCTGCGCGAATGCTTCAGTATAAAAAAACGAAACTCTGATTTTGGATCGAAACAGGCCTAAACCGAAACCGAGAGTTCGTTTGGACACTATACTACAACTATTTAAAACTGTAATGACTCATACGCGTGATCAACACGTGATCAGAGCTCGATCCCGGCTTCCTTCCAGTACAGCCGTATAGCGTACGACATATGTCGTTTCTGTGGCTTTGCGGTGGTCCACAGCACAGACAGAGATGCAAATAATGGCTGATTGTTCTCCGCCGGTAGAACCAATGAAATCAAAGATGCGCCTCGACCGGCAGACTCATAAGCGTCGGCAACGCATTGGAACGTGTTTCGTTGAGCGATCGCATATTGTGTGTTTTTATAAGAATTGTTGTGTGATTGTTATTGTTGTGGTTTCTGTGGTTACTGTTTTGATTATACTTAACCATGGAGAGTACAAATGGCACGAGTGGAAGTACTGAAAGCCAGGGAACAAGTAGACGGCTTCGTAAAGCACTGAAGAGGGACGCGAAAGAAATCGTGCTCAACGTGTTTAATAATCTGAACAGAACTATGTCGCAGGGAGATGCACTCGCGCGTTGTGAAAGTATGACAGGCGTTCCAGAGTGGACCATTCGCAGGGTGGTGCATAAAAAGAAGAAAACTGGAGCTACTACTGATCCAAAGTTTAATTTGAAGGTACGAAAGGCCGTTAAATTGGATGACGATAGCAAAATGGCGTTAAGGCGAACCGTACATTCATTCTTCTTTAGGAATGAGATACCAACCCTCAAGGCTGTACATGCAGCGATCAAGGAAAATGAAATTATACCCCAAATGAGCGTCGCGGTAATGAGGAAATCCCTGCACGAAATTAATTTTCGTTACGAAACGTGTAATCGGATGTCAGTATTGATAGAGAGACCTGAAATAGTCGCCTGGCGTCGAAAATACCTACGCGAAATGATTGAATATAGGCTTCAAAGCAGAAAAATCTATTATTTGCACGAGACATGGGTAAATGCAGGTCACACAGTTAAAAAAACCTGGATAGACAAAAACGTAGTGAGTAACCGACAAGCAAGCATTGAAGGTTTGTCAACAGGTCTTCGTGGACCGTCAGGGACAGGTCAAATATTGATCGTAACTCATATTGGTAGCGATAGTGGCTTTTTAGAAGAGTGTGACTTGATTTTCGTCTCTAAGAAAGGAGGTGATTACCATGACGAAATGAATGCCAGCTGCTTCGAGAGCTGGTTTCAAGGGGTGCTTCAGCGAGTTGAGCCCAACTTTGTGATCGTCATGGATAATGCTTCCTACCATAGTCGTCGAGCCGAACGTGTACCGACTATGGGATCTCGAAAAAGTGACATGCAGCAATGGTTGCGCGAAAAAGGAATCCCGTTTGACGATTCATGTGTGAAAGCGGAATTGTATGAAAAAATTAAACAGCACAAACCTGCGAACATTAGTTACGTGACTGATGAGATGGCCCGTCAATGTGGTGTCACTGTGCTGCGGTTACCGCCCTACCACTGTGAACTGAACCCAAGGGCTCAAGTGAAGGGTTATATTGCGCGCCATAACACAACCTTCAAATTACCAGACGTTAAGGTTTTACTTGAGACTTCCATACAGCTAGTAACGCCCGAAGCTTGGCAGAATGCTATCCGTCATGTTGTGAAAGAAGAAACAAAAATGTGGCAGCTTGACCACCACATCGACACCATCATAGATCCAGTTATAGTCAATTTCAACGAGGAAGGCGATAGCGACAGTTTATTACTGTCAGATATAAGTGGAAGCGACGATGAATAAAGGTAATTCCCAAATTTTTGACTTACAATATGTTTCAAACCACTCTTTATTAAGCATGTGACAAATCTAGTTCACCCATGTTAAACATTCATACCCCGCCTATGAACAGCCGACTACTGGTAGTTAAGTGATGTTCACGTGAACATCGATGAGTCATTACAGTTTTAGATAGTTATAGTATAGTTATATCAATTGCGCTAGCGGAAAAACTTTGATTTGTGGCTGACCTGAAGCGTAGGGCTGACTACAGCCATAGGATCGCTCGGTGGCCCCATCTTGCAGCTACCCACTTGATGATTTTCTGGTCCCGTGGCTCTTTTTGCTGAGCATTCCCAGTACTTGTCACTACCAAATTGGATATTCTCGCAGCCAGGTGTCGGAGTTTTATCCAGTTTGAAGCCATACCTCCGCAGTGCTGTAAAATAGATTCTTATTAATTTATTCATTTAAAAATCGAAGGCGAATATCAATACAGTGCACTCCGGTTATAACGTACCCTCTAGGTAGAAAAAAACGAGCAATTTATAACCGGAAGTACGCTATAAAGGAAACCCATAAAAATAAATATGCAAATTTTTATACTATGTGACATATAAATCCGAACACCCAGTTTAAATGGTTTTATTTTAATAAAATTTTGTATAAGTACTTAATGAAGCATAATAAGTAAATGATAAACATTTCAAAATGATTGCACTGCTTTAAAGCCCTTTGACCTTTAATAATGTGTGGATGCACCCTGATGTGCTACGCATTCTCCAACGCGCCTAGGCATGCTTCTAATCAGGTGGTCAATGTCCTCCTGTGGTATCTCATTCCAGGCAACCACCAACTCCTCTCGAAGTGCTTCTAGAGGAGGACGTTGCAAATTGAGAAATCTCCTAGCCATCATATCCCACACGTGCTTAATTGGGGATAAGTCGGGAGATCTTGGTGGCCATGGTAACAATGTGACATCATTATGTTGAAAGAAGTCTATTGTGACTCTTGCAACATGTGGTCGGGCATTATCTTGTTGGAAAGTTGGATCTGCCAGGGTGTCAAGATAGGGTAAAAGATGGGGTTCTAGAACTTCGTGGATATAACTCTGCGCGTTCATGTTACCTCTGATGAAGATTAAAGGTGACCTGGAACCATAAGCTATAGCACCCGAAACCATAACTCCAACAGTGTGATGAACATGTCTTTCAACAAAAAACTTTGGATTCCTCCTTTCACCACGTTGCCTTCTAACTCTGGCACGATCATCGTGCATACCTAAACAAAATCGAGACTCGTCACTAAAGACAATACTGTGCCATTCCTGATCCCAGAGTGACCGTTGTCTGCACCACTCAAGGCGATTACGTCGGTGTTCTCGAGTTAAAGGGAGGACCCAGTGTGGCCGGTATGAAAACAAGCCAAAACTTCATTTGCAGTGGACCTGGTAGTGGAGAAACGGTCCCTTAAGGCCAATAATCTTAGGAGGCGATCTTCACGGTCTGTTGTTCTACGGCGGCGTCCAGTGTCCCTTGCTCTTTGAGTACGGCCTTCTCGAAGCCATGCCTGACAACACCTAACCACAGTGTCTACACTTCTTTGCACGCTAACTGCAATTGCCCGAAAAGAAAGTCCAGCTTCCCGAAGTCCCACTATACGGCCCCTATCAAACTTACTAAGTTGACGAAATCGTACAGGTCTCCGTACTCTAGGCATCGTAACCGATCGTAAAGGATGTCAAGAACCAAAATCCGCCAACGTTGATTCTTTACTGCGGCTGAAATATTCATTTTTAGAGCGTTAGTGAATTAAAAAAAAGCAGTATAAAAACCGGAATGTCCAACTGATAAGGCTGAAAATTTTTTCACTTGTTATTTACAGTAAGATAAATACATTCACCAACTTTTATTAAAATAAAACCATTTAAACTGGGTGTTCGGATTTATATGTCACTTAGTATATTTATCTTACTGTAGATAACAAGTGAAAAAATGTTCAGCCTTATCAGTTGGACATTCCGGTTTTTATACTGCTTTTTTTAATTCACTAACGATCTAAAAATTAATATTTCAGCCGCAGTAAAGAATCAACGTTGGCGGATTTTGGTCCTTGACATCCTTTACGATTCCAATTTCACCAACACCGGCAGCAACTGATGATTTGGGCATGTCTGGTAAGAACGTATGAAGTGAAACTCGCTAACTTCACAAATTTGAAGGTTTTATACAATTTCTTTGAAAATGATGAAAGATATGTCTGATATGGAAGGGTAATGTCGCAGCCAAATGGCAGTCACTCTTTCTGACACAGTCCGGATCGAAAGATGACGATACTCGTGAAATGTATTGATACTTCTAAATATAGGATCATATCGAACATCCCTACTGTCAAGATGTATATGTATAACCCAAGGTACCGACGGAGCTATTTTGCGGAGTCATGGAGATAATTTTAAATTTTCATTTGCATTTTTTCAAGTGTTGTGCAATGATTTTGGGAAAATTGTCACGAATAGTCTTATAAAGCATAGTAGAGTATATTTCAACAGTTGGCGGTACTTACTCCACTGGGACCAGGAGCGTGAAACGGGATAATAATGCACAATCTGGCAACCCTGTCGCACCCTCACAAAATGGCCGCTGATAACCACACAAGTCACGTGTTGTCATTGAATAGCATGGAATTAAACCTCCAGAGTATAATATATTTTGTGACTGGTACCAAGAATTGACGGATCCCACGCATGTGTCACTCCTTGAAATGCAATAATCAGCTGTATTCAAATAATGTCTAATATAAATATAACCTAGAATGTGTACTCGTGGAAAAAGAAAATATGGCAAATTTGTAGTTTTTTGCAGGTTTTAGGTTTGATGGTAGCTTCAAGGCGTATATTTGGGAATTTATTAATCGCTGTGAATATAGTGTGGATGTTTGGTCAGTTCCTGAACAACGAAAAATATTCAACGTTATGGATGTATGGATATCAAAAAACCTGAATGGTTTTGTGGGAATATCAATCTAAGGTGCCATAATGGTTCTGATGAACGGCAGGTAAATGAATGAATGTTTGGAAACGAGCAATATCTTTTGGTAGAGCCTGTCATCAAGTAAGTGCTTAATGCTATCTGCAAGAGGTTTATAGGAAAAAACACCCAGTATCACATATCAATTGAAAAAAATAATACAAACATGAATTTAATTCAAAAATCAAACATTTCTTAAAATTTTGACTGAATTATATGTAATTTCATAATATTCAATAAGCTGGTGATGTTTCAATGACAAGTTGTCATCTCATACTTTGACAGTATTTTGTTTTCAACATTTCATAGCTATTGGTTGCTAAAATTTGTTGACTGGAACTTGAAGCTCATTCGCTGTATTTGACGGGCTGTTACCTATAGGTGGAGAATAACGGACTGTTGTTGGTGAAATTGGCCCTTAGACTTTTTTTATGGGGCTATTTGAAGCAAAAGGTGTACGAAACTGAACCTGCTTCACTATTGGATATACGGCTGACAATAACAAATATTTGTAGAAATATCGATGAAACTATGTTTGAAAATGTTTGACGCGAAATTACGGACCGGCTGCTATTGTGTCAAGAAGTTCAGGGCAACCATTTCCAGCATCTCCTAAACTGAACTCAACGTATTGATTCGAATTATCAAGTTAAATGTCAATGTATTCAGTTAATTATTAAATGTACCACCAATTTGTAGTGGGTAGGTTAAGGTATTGACTTTATATTCTAGGGTTATAAAGTACTCGTCAGGAGCTTCAAAATGATGCGCCATAAGAACCCCGTTTTCATATAATTTTTTTCCAAGATGGTGCCCAGCGGCCATATAATGTTATGCTTCATGCTGCTTAACAATATTAATTAACGGCCGTGCCTTTCAGTTGCAATTATCACACGATTTGCACTTGTTTATAATTAAAATGTATAACATAACAAAAACTTTTAAATGGATGGTTAATTACATAGTAAAAAGTTTATTAAATGTGGAATTTATACATCTGAGCTCTGTACAATATCGATTGGTTTGAGTGTAATTAATATAGATATAATTTATCGATCAAACGAACTTACCTGAAGTTCGATCGTAATTATATGAGGGTCCAGTCCGAAAATATTACATAATTGTGTAGTAGTGGCTTTCCATACTTTTTATCACGAGGTTCAAAGCAAAGGAAAAATGCGCCCGTCCGGTCCTGACTGCCGTTCACCTTGATGATCTAGTGGCGCACCGTCCTATTCGCTTCATTCTTCAAAGTATCCAGATGTATTACCTGCAACTCTCAGGGGCGGGTAGGGGTAGGGTTTGTAATATTTTCGGACTGGACCCTCATATAATTACGATCGAACTTCAGGTAAGTTCGTTTGATCGATAAATTATATTTCGGGATCCAGTCCTCAATATTACATAATTGTGTAGCTGTTTAAAGGAAGTTGCAGTAAGACAGGTGGAAGAAACTTTTATTTTAAGAAAAACGAAAAAGTTGATACAAACGTTAAACAAATTCAAATAACCGTAAGTATATCCTCTATGTTTCTGATGATAATAGATTCAAGACAGATGTTAAATAATTGTCTTTCTCTACTAGAGGTCTATTGTAAAACCTTGCAAAGGTTTGAGAGTCCTGGCTCCAACCAGCTGATCTGCGTATTGCATCTATATGCACCCCTTGTCTTAGCGCACATGAAGTGGAAGCGTGCCTTGAGGAATGGGGTTTGAACATATTTGTGTCGATTCCTGCCTTTGCCATTGTATTTTTTACCCAGCGACTCAAGGTTTGTTTAGTAGCTGGGCCATGTGGTTTATTGAACGTGAGAAATAGCTTATCACAATCGGCAGGGCGGAGTGGTTTAGTTAGTTCCAGGTACTGATGTAGGCAAGAAGCAACACACAAGTTAGGACATTCATGAAAATATGGCAATGACAACTTAGGTTGAAGTGTTTTAGGCCCTGAAGTTTTCACAAAATCGGGGATTTGGATGTCTGCCCCTGAGGTAGAAAATTTAATATTAGGACATCTAATAAGAGCAACAGTCTGGATTCTCTGTCCGGTAGCTAACACTAAGAGAGCAACTAATTTACAGGATACGGATCTTAGATCTTTATCGGGCGGTTTATTTAAAAACTTAAGTACATCTTGAGGATTCCACGTAAAATTATATCTAGGCCTAGGCGGTCTAGTTCGAAAAATTCCTTTCATAAATCGTTTTACCTCTGTATTTGTCCCTAAATAGCTAGAAGTGATAAGGGAAAGAGCCGCCCTATGGGAATTGAAGGAACTATAAGTATTATTTGATGTGTTCATAACCTGCTGTAGGAATGAAATGATATTGGCTACGTCGTATTTAAAAGGGGATATGTCCCTCAGTTGACAAAATTCCCACCAAAGTCTTAGGCTACAGTTGTATTGAGA